TGTTGACCAGGATGGTCTCGATCTCTTGACCTCGTGATCCACCCGCCTTGGCCTCCCAAAGTGCTGGGATTACAGGCTTGAGCCACCGTGCCCGGCCACTACTGGGCATTTATCCAAGGAAAGGAAATTAGTACACCAAAGAAATATCCACACCCCCCTGTTTATTTCAGCACTAGTCACAACAGCCAAGACACCAGATCAACCTGGGTGTCCAATAACAGATGAATGAATGAAGGAAATGTGGTATACATATGCAACCAAGCAGTTTAGCTTCCAAATGCATTTTAAAACATTTTGTCTTTTCTCCTTTTTTCCCAGTCTCAAGTTGTAAACTTGATACAAACTGTAGGAACCTTTTCCTCCTTAGTTTTAAAAGATAGCACTGAAACATACTTTGAAACTCCACACTCCTGCATGCCTCCCATTCCAAGTTTCCTTTTTTGATCCCCTCTTCCCAGCCTGAAGTTTGAATCATTTCTGGGGGTTAAGCTGGCCGCTTCCTCACTGCTAGCTTTGGAAAAAAGTCACCTTCCTTTCACTGCACATCATCCTCGTTACTGGCTTTGCAAGCAGTGAGCAGCCAAACCTGCAGTCAGTTACACATATACCATGGAATACTATTCAGCCATAAAAAGAAGGAAATCCTGTGATTCACAGCAACATGGATGGACTGGAGGCCACTATGTTAAGTGAAATAAGCCAGGAACATAAAGTTAAATACTAGGTGTTCTCATTTATACACGAGAGCTAAAAAAGTTGATCTCAAAAGAGTAAAAAGTAGAACAGAGGATACTAGGGGCTGTAAGGGTGGGGGAAGAGGGAAATAGGGAGACATTTATTAAAGGATACAAAGTTACAGTTAGATCGGAGGAACAGGTTTCAGTGTTCTATACTACTGTAGGATAACTACAGTTAACAAGAGTATATTATGTAGTTTCAAATAGCTAGGAGCATATTGAATGTTCTCAACACAAAGAAATGATAAATATTCAAGATGATGGATGTGCTAATTAAACTGATCTGATCACTGTACATTATACGTATTGAAACGTCACTGGGTGCCCCGTAAAAAATGTATAATTATTACATGTCAATAAAAAATTAAGAGGGAAAAAATCTCTCTATACACACACATCAGAATGGCTAAAATAAAAGACAGTGACAATACAGAATTCTAGTCAGGATGTGGAGATCCTGGATCACTCACACCTTGCAGGTGAGAATGTAAAATTGTACAGCCACGCTGGAAAACAGTTTGGCTATACAATTTTACATTCTCACCAGCAAAGTGTGAGTTTGGCAGTATCTTATAAAACTAAACATGCACTGGACATACAATCCAGCAGTTGCACTCTTGGGCATTTTTCCCACAGAAAAGACATGTGATGTCCACACAGGAACCTTCACACAAAGGTTTCTGGCAGCTTTATAATAACCAAAATCTGGAAACAGCCCAGATGTCCCTCAGCTGGTACATCCATAGCATGGACTCGGCATACAAAGGGATTACTGACACACACAACAGCTTAGATGACTCTCAAGGCAATTATACTGAATGCAAAAAGTTAGCCCTCAAAAGTCATCTATTGTATAATTCCATTTATATTATATTAGTGGAATAACAAAATCATAGAGATGGAGACCCGATTAGTGGTTGACAAGGGTTAGGGGTGAAGGATGTGTGGCTTTAAAGGAATGGCACAAGGGAGTCATGTAGTTCTGGAAAGTTCTGGACATTTATTGTGCTAGTGGTTATACAAATCTACAAGTGAAAGTGAATTTTAAATAAATTTGGAAACCAAAGGCAAAAATGACAAGCAACCTTCACAAAGGGTATGAACTATGATTTTATCTTATGCTGCTTCTAAGAAATTCCAGAGAGCAGCTACTTTTGCAAGTGAACGACTATAAAGATCAGCCTTCTCCTCTTCATTTATCACTTAACACGACACTTGATTATATTATTGAATGACGTTGTATACTTGAAAGTATTTATATTAGTGCAAGTTATTCTTATTTTCAATTAAGTGTAACAATATTTAAAAGTACTTACCAGTCAGCAGTCTGGGTCTGTAAAACTACAGCCTATGAGCTAAATCCAGCCAACTAACCATGAGTTAATGGATTTTACATATTTTATTAGTTGAAAAAATTTTGAAAGACATTTTGTGACACGTGAAAATTACATAAAAATCATATTTCAATGTCCATAAAGAAAGCAGAACACAGGAAAGCTCACTAGTTTACAATATAGTGTCTATGTCTACTTTGACCTGAAAACGGCAGAATTGAGTAGTTGCAACAGAGACTATATTACCAGCAAAGTTTAAGTTATTTGCTATCTGACTCTTAATAGAAGTTTGCCAAACCCTGATCTGAAAAAGTTGAACAGTGATATTAGAAGTGATATAAGATTTGAGTCATGCTCCCCTGGACCTACGGCCTGCCATGTATACTAAGCTATATCCCAATTCAATGGACAGTAGAGAAAGTGCCAAAAAGTACCTGTCATTTTCCTTGGGAGACCTGAAAATAAAAATTGAAAATATTAAAAAGAGTTTGAGACAGTTATTATTGTCACATCGTTCATCGAAGTGCAAGTTCTTTGTGTATTTCCTCTGAATTTCCTTGGAATTCTTCCTTAAATAAAAATGCTTGCATAGCATCAGATACTGACAAATTCCTATAGACTGAAGGAAGCGAGCAAAGGTGAAAACAGCATTCAATTTTAAAACCATGGTCTTTACTTTCTTCTAAACTTTAAAAATACTTTAAAAGCATCCATACAGAGTTATTTCTTCATAAATAAACTTTTTTCAGTAAATCAGCAGAAGACTCCAGTTGGTGGCGTTAACAAAATTGGGACACTTTTGGGGTACAACATGTTATGCAGTATTAAAATCAGATGGTACATTGTAAGGTAGTAAGGGTTTAGGTAAGGGTTTAGGACTGACTAATCCGCAGGATACCTTTAATATTTATTACTTTAATATTTATTACTTTACATAGCAGATGCTTAAATAGAACTTTCCATGTGCTAGGAACTGTGCTAAGCATTTTACAAAAATTAGTTGATTAAATCCTCATTAAGATTTATTAGTATCCTTATAATATCGGTATAGAAACCAAGGAACAAAGAAGCCAAATAATTTGCTGATGGTATTTCAAAAGCATTTTTTAAATAAAGCAGGATTAAGGTAAATTGTCTTTTTTAATACAAATGAGAAGATAAATCCTGGAAATACACCCAAAAGCATCCAGCCAGAAGTGCAAAGGCAGGATGTGAAGCCAGGCAAATTGGCTCCAAAGACGGTGTTGCCCTTCATGTGCTGCCAGATGAGGGAGGCTTCAAAGGCCTCACATTCTCAGGTTGTCATGCGAGCTTACCACTGGAGGCAGCATCCTGTTTGAAAACTGCTGAAGTTGAACAGGGTGACTGGTCATGATACGAAACTGGATAAGTAGGTCAGCTTACACTATTTGGCCTCTCTTCACTAAGCCTGCACTGCTAAGCAGCTAAACAACACTGGGAACATTATTTAAATTCCCTGTGCTCTGGTTTACTTATTGGAAAATATGAGCATAATAACTGTCTCATAGCACTGATGTCGAAATTCAATAGTGTGTGTATAAATATAGATATATATAAAGCCTGGCACACAGTAAATGCTATATAAGTGCTTGCTGTTATTTCTGGTAAACTCAGAAGTTTTGACAGGAGCAAGCCAAGGTTGAGATGGATAACATCTAAACCTGCGCTAGAGCATCACCTAAATCACGGCCTTGAATCTAGCATGAAAGTTCAGAGCAAGAAAAGCCAGACAGTCAGCTGCTTTGTTTCCAAATTCCTCCTCCACCCCAGTTTACAAACTCTAACTCTGGGCTAATATTTCAGCCCTTTAAACCTGTTTCCTCCTCTTAAAAATTAGTATTAGTAATATCTCTCCTAAAAGGACTGAAGATTAATTGAGCTCAGCAATCTGACATGCCCAATACAAAGTATTCACTCAGTAAAATATTCACTCGGTCAGTGTTCACAAGAATTATACTGTGAGTCTTAAGCAGGAAAGAAATGTCTTTAAAAGAGGTATCTTGTTTACTCAGAACTGTTATGTTTAAAACAAGGACTAACGCATCCCTTCCAGAGTGGCCTCATACCAAGATGTCAAAATCACCACACTGACAAGCTTTAGCAAACAATGAGGCCACATCTGACTTCTGGCTCCTCTCAGAGCCAAATAAGACCTACGTAACTTGTCAGCAGCAAGCTGGGGACATGAATTCCTAAGTTATTTTTTTGTTGTTGCTGTTGTTGTTGTTGTTGTTTTGTTTTGTTTTGTTTTTTTGGAGACGGAGTTTCGCTCTTGTTACCCAGGCTGGAGTGCAATGGCACGATCTCGGCTCACCGCAACCTCCGCCTCCTGGGTTCAGGCAATTCTCCTGCCTCAGCCTCCTGAGTAGCTGAGATTACAGGCACGTGCCACCATGCCCAGCTAATGTTTTGTATTTTTAGTAGAGACGGGGTTTCACCGTGTTGACCAGGATGGTCCCGATCTCTTGACCTCGTGATCCACCCGCCTCGGTCTCCCAAAGTGCTGGGATTACAGGCGTGAGCCACTGCACCCGGCTCATATATATATATTTTTATTGCGTTTTAGGTTTTGGGGTACATGTGAAGAACATGCAAGATTGTTGCATAGGTACATACGTGGCAATGTGGTTTGCTAATTTCCTCCCCATCACCTATATCTGACATTTCTCCCCATGTTATCCCTCCCCAAAGCCCCACCCCCCCACTGACCCTCCCCTAGTTCCCCCCACAGACCCCAGTGTGTGATGCTCCCCTCCCTCCATTAATTCCTAAGTTCTTAACCTAGCCAACTTTAGACCTATATATCTCTTTGAGTTATTATTTGCTCTTTTTCAAATTCAATTTTCTCACCTAAAAAACTAACATCGAGAATACCACTTTACCAGAAATAGCACTGAGTTTACAGCATTCAAATCATTTATTGTTAGAATATATATGATAAACATAAAGGCTATTCCATTCAGAATGAAGAATACTAATGAACATGTGCATATTTAGAGTAAGTCTATTTACCTAAATTCAAGCACACGAATATCCTTGTAGCCTGGTAAGCCAGTGAATGCATTTTCAACCTGTTAAAAATACAAAGAAAAATGAATGACTTGTAGAAATATGGAAAAATATATAGAAAATAATGCTTTTAAAAGTCAAATAAAAAGTACACTGTTCACAACTATTAGAAGCTTATATACTTGCCTATACATACCCGGGTCAGAAAGCGAAAGAAAAAATTACAATAGCTAAAATGTTAGAAAATAGTTTTTACCTAAACACTGCCACATTTTCCTTTTTCATTTTGTCTTTTAAGGTTTTAATGTGCCTTAATATTAATTTTTTTCCAAATTACAAAAAGCGTATGCCTTGTTGGCAAAGCACTGTTTTTCCCTTGTGTGATGAAATGCAAAAAAAAAAAAATATTTTAAAATATGCCATAATAGCATTTTCTTTCTTTTTTTTTTTTTTTTTTTTTTTTTTTTTTTTTTTTTTTTGAGATGCAGTTTCACTCTGCCACCCAGGCTGGAGTGCAGTAGTGCAATCTCGGCTCACTGCAACCTCCGCCTCCTGGCTTCAAGCCATTCTCCTGTCTCAGCCTCCCAAGCAGCTGGAATACAGGTGTGCACCACCATATCCAGCTAATTTTTATATTTTTACTAGAGATGGGATTTCACCGTGTTTGCCAGGCTGGTCTTGCACTCCTGACCTCAGGTGATCCACCCACCTTGACCTCCACAGTGCTAGGATTACAGGCCTGTAATAGCATTTTTAAATGTTACTGTTTGGATTTGAAATCTGGCCACAACACACTCACTGACAAACAGTCTGGGGTTTGTCTTCTATAACGTGAAAGTGGCTGGTGGCATCTGTTTCCTGCTCCTGCAACACAAGAAAACCAGAAACACAAACACACTCAACACCCAGACCACAGGCCTTGTGGTCAGGTGACGGTGCTGATCAAAAGACTCATTCACGAGCATCGCACCCACAGGAGCCAGTTTTATTACTGAGTCTTTAAAATCTAGCCATGTAACTCCAAACGAGCTTAGTGACTGGAGGTCGGAAGCAGTGAGCTAGATTGAACTAAAGATGTAAAAATAATGAGGTTAGGCACAAACGCATATTTTAACAAAAATCAACATTTAATCTGTAACATTTCAGAAGGTGACAGCCTCACCAGTTGGGTCACTATGGGGCCAGCATCAGAACAAAGGAAATACATTAATGGACCTTGGCAACATCTCTGGGCATCTGCTTTTAACCAAGTCCTCATATAATGAGGAGAGTGGGATTTTTAAAAAATCCCAGTTCACTGAAGATCTTTATGCCTTAAGAATATAGAATCCAAACTCATGAAACTCTTTGGCTATAGTAACACGCCGTTTTACTCTCTTAAAGGAAATAAAAACCTGTTATAATTCTTGTAGGGTGGTGGGGATGGGTAGAATCCCCAGGACTAGAAATCAGAAGCCTGAGGGTTAGTCTCAGCCTTGCCTGTGCTGGCAGGGTGCCCATGCATAGGCCTTTTTTCTTCAGAACTAATACTTCCCTGCCCACCTACCATTCTGATTTTAAGATGAAAACAAATGTACCTAAAAGCACTCCATTAACTGAAAAATGCTGTACAACTGTACATTATCATTACTACTAAACCCGTCTTAGCATAGGCTTTGCCTTCTCTGGAGTCTAAACACGTGTAGGTATTCTAATGCACCTCATTCAGTTAGCTACTGCACATGAGTCCAGTTGTAAGAAGTCACTCATCTTCAACATCGATATTAATAGTCAGTACAATGTATTGAGGACTGCGGTGTGTCTGATGCTTTGCTTTACTTCAAATCTGTGATAATCCCCAGAGATAATATATTATTCCTATTTTATGGATGAGAAAATGGAGATTATAAGATATTAACTAACGTGGCCAGGATCACACATTTTGTGAATGACTGAATCAGAATGTATTCAATCCCAGATCTCTCTAACACCAAAGCCCATATTCTTCCCATTGAATCACATTGCCCCTTCCTCTTTTCCCTGCCTCATGATCAATGTACTTTAGAATTGGGATCAGGACCGGGAAAACTAAGGTTCACTATAACTCCTCCCTTGAATTAAAATGAAGGGGACTCTGTAGAAGAAGCAGCACTTTGAAAGGCGGTACGAGACCTGGTTTTCATTTCTGTTCCTAGAGAGACTGAAGTAACAATGAACAAGTTATTTGGCCTCCTGAGCCTCATCTGTAAAGTGGAGATGCTTGTCTACTTGGCTGATGTAAGCAAACACATAGAAACTTGCCTGTGGAGCACAAGGTGCTATGTGAGGCCCACACTGACACCGAGCTGGGACTGCCCTCAGGCACCAACACGCCCAGGCCCATCACAATGACCTTCCCCCTCTGATATTGTACTTTGTGTTGTCCCAGCCTATCATGCCCTCACTTCTTATCCTTTTACACACACACACACACACACACACACACACACACACGCACACACACACACACACACACAAAGGGCTCCTAAACCTCATCCCCTCCTTCTCCCTGTGTATCTTCCAGTAATACCCAGAAAAGCCGAGGGAAAAATCCGTGTGATGGTGTCCTGAAGGGAGGGAGCTGGAGGATCCCCTTCAGTTTGAGACGTGATCCCCTGCCAACTCTTGGTAGACACTTCCTTCCAGGTAAGGGAACAGGGAGTATAGAGATAGGCCAGAGAAGGAGGTGTTTCGTGGCTAGGCCCAGAACGTTCATCACCGTCTAATGACCTCAACTCTACAGCTACCTGCCTCATACAGTCCCTGATGAAGATATTTTTCAGAGTGTTTATTGGACTTTTCTAAATCTGCAGTCATTCCACGCAATTGTTTACCCAAATACTAAGGCGTATTAAAAGTTTCTTAATCAAAGGGCAGAGAAAACCAGACAGCCAACCCAAGACACTCTCTGATGCCAGGTGGCCACTGGCCTGGCTGGCATTTCTTCCACATACCATACAGCCTTGCAACTTGGCCACACCACTAGGAAAATCAATCGTCTGTCCTCCCCTTCCCACGTCTGATGGCTACAATAATGCTTTGGCTGAGAGATGCAGTTTTATTTCCCATCTGGACACAGTATCTGGGGAGGGAAAGTAATCTAAGGTAATGGAATTGACAAACTTGGTGAAGGAGAACCCCACCAAAAAGCAGTGGGAAAAAATAAACAGGAAGGAATGATTTGCCCTTTCATAAGACAGCCAGTGGTAAATGAGCATTCATTGCCTTACTACACAAAAACAAAGGCTAACAAGACCGGGACCCATGTGTCATTTTTGACTGAAAAAATCTTGGGTTTAAATCCTATATAGAATTTTTCCAGAAAGCGATGTTGTGGGATGGTCTAATCCACAGTTCTTTAAAGAAATCCCTTTCTAAAAATACCTCCAACCAAGGATAGGAGGCAAATTTACTGTTCACTGGATGCCCTTTTGTGCTTCTCAGCTTTGTACCAGATATTGCCTATGTGGTAACTATTAAAATTTTTTCAATTAAAAAATACCAAAGATGAGATTAAAAGAAATTAATGCTCCCTTAAGAAAAACAATACAGTGTGGGTAGTTTCTTAAAGAAGCTTAATTCTCTCAATATTTTCAAGTCAAAACGATGCCACAGAACACAGTCGTCCTCGGCTGTGCAGCAAAAGCTGGAAATTGCATTAATTTTTTAGCAGATGGCAAGATTTTTCTTTCTGTGAAAGAATTCATCTGTCCTGTGACTTTTCAGAGTTTTCTGAAGAAATGGCTAAGTAACCACTCCGGGAACCAAGGAGACGAACAACTTGAAACCTAAACTACCTTTAAACAGTGTTGTGAACATGGGAAACTAACACAGCAGACAAACCGTCTCGTTTATTTTTTTTAAATCACCCACCTCTGAAATAAATTCTTCTTCAAGGTGCTGGTGGTGAAAACTGGAGGAATCCTGGAGTTCTTCCCTGTATTCCATCCCCAGAAGGTGGATACTGAATTCTGCAATCTGTTCAGCTGCTGGTTTTGTGGCTTCTTCCATCACATCCTCAATTTCATTGCTAATCTGAATTTTTAGAGAAAGAACAATAAATGTCAAGACATGTTCATTCAATCAACAAACATTTATTGATTGTTCCAGTGTGTCAGAACGGTGCTAAAGGCAGCTTCTGAAGATAACCTTATGATATCATATTTGACTTTGGAACAAACTGGGTAGACTTTAAGACATAGGCTAATGCTACAATTACTATGCATTTGTTCGCTCCTTTGAACACACATTGTACAGTTCAAGGGAAGGTAGAAAATTTTCCACAGGAAACCATCAAAGTGAGTTTAAAAAGAGTTGACTGCTATAATTATCATCCAAAAATAAACTAGAAGGGTTGTTTCCAAATGTTTTTGTCTTAGAGCCCTTTAATCTCTTAATAATCATTGAGGAATCCAAAGCCTTGAAACTCTTAATAATCATTGAGGAATCCAAAGAAGTTTGGTTTATGTGGGTTATACCTATAGATATTTACAAAACAAAAGATTAAAAGAGAATTTTTCAAAATATTTAATTCATTTAAATGTAATATAATCATCTCAATTCATATAAAAATGAGGTAAATATTCTGCAAAATAAAAAAAAATTAGTGGGAAGAGTGACATTGTTTATATTTTTGCAAATTCTTTAATGCCTAGCTTAATAGAAGACAGCTGGGTTCTTCTATCTGCTTCTGTATTCGATTAGTTACAATATGTTGTTTAGTTGAAATACATGAAAAAAATCTGGTCACACAGATATCTATTAGAGAAGGGATGGATATATCTAGAATTTTCAGATAACTGTAGGTATTCTTTTTTGATATTACACCAAACTCAACAAGCAGTAATTTCTTAAAGGTTAGTTGCTATGTAGAAGCTAAACACATATTCAACAAACTTTTTGTACTCTGTAACATTCAAATCCAGGGCTTCCACTAGCCAAAGCTGAAATAATTTAAGCAACGAAATAAATAATGGATTATAACCCAAAGAATAAATTAAATATCCATGAGTCCATACTGATATAAATAACAAATAAATGATGAAATAAATAAATGAAAGGGAAGTGACAATAGTTTCTTACAGAATAATTTCAATTAATAAAGGTAGAAAAAAATAAGGGAAGTGGAAAATCACTACTAGAACAATACCGTAATGATTGTCACACACAAAATACACTAAAGTGCATTTAATCCAACTTTCTTCATTTTGATACGTAAGAAAACCAGAGAGTGAATAGGATGAATGACTAGCATAAGGAATCATAGCATGTCAATGGCAGAGTCAGGAAGAGAATATAAGGGCTTTTGCTCATTTTATCATTTTTCATCCCTGATGAATCATACAGTCAGAGACTTTTAAAACTTCAGAATGGGAAGGAACATCAAAGATTCCACCATCTCTTCTGACACTTGAATTTTCTTCAAAATGTCCTTGACAAATGACTGCTTATCATCAGTTTGAATGTCTTTGATGAGAAAGAAACATGCCTTTCAAACACGGACTATTACACTTCAAAAAAGCTCTCATGGTTGGAAAGTTCTTAATATTAGACCCAATTTACCTCCCTATAAATTCTACCTTTGATCCAAATTTTGTAACCTGGGGCATATTTAAAACTTAGTTGCACAAAGCCCATCAAATACGCACAGGTAGCTACCATGTCTTCCCTGACTGTTCACTAGTTCCTCTCTTCTATACGCTTCTCAGTCTCTTAAGATCTTTCTTAGACAATGACACTCACAAGCGAAATCTAACCAATGAAAATATGCAATATGCTGTTTTAGCTGAAATACATGAAAAAATCTAGCCTCTCATCTCTCTTATAGTAAACTGTACTTCAGTTAAAACAAGCTAAAATTACACTAGCTTTTGTTTTTTCAGTAACTGCATCATACTACTGATTCATAGTAAGACTAATATCAACAAAAACTCTTAGCCTTATGAAATTTTGCACAAGACTTTGCATTTTTCTGTATTAAGCTTCATCTCACTAAATTTTCAAAGAGACTTGTTTCTGGTTTATGATAAAAGAAATATCTTGAGTTGTATTGCTGCTAGGGAACACTGAAAATGCTGAGTAAATATTTGTAATGGTTTTAATGCATAGCTAGTTTGCAAGAAAGTAAAAACAAAACAAAACCAAGATGTCAAAATACATTACAGGAATCCAGAGAGTTGAGTCAGTGTTGAAGGTGGCAGCTTCCATTAAGCATCTACTGATCCTTTGGAACCTAGGCTTCAATTGTAAATACCACAAAAGGATAGAATACAAAGTAGAAGGCCTATACATGTCGACAAATCAGATCAAAGACTCCCACATAAAGCAAGGGTTCTAAAAACTCAATGGACAGTTTGAACAACAGTAGATTAAACTGAAAAAAAAAATTAGTGAACTGGAAGACAACTGAAAGCAACACAGAGAGACACAGAAATGAAAGTTATTAAAGTAGTTAAGAGACATGAGAGAGAAAATTAGGAGGTCAAACATATCTAATCATGAAAGATAACAGCTGAGAATTTCTCCAAATTTACGTTAGACATAAAGCCTCACATTAAGGAAATACAACAAATCCAAACCAAAATAAATAATCATAAATACGCATCTATATCCATTTTTGTGAAACTGCAGAATCTCAATTACAAATTCATATACTAAATGAGTATATCTATGCACATACACATATGTACATATTTGTACGTACACATATTTGTATGTATATATATGTATGCGCATACATATGTATCTTAAAAACAGCCCAAGAAAACGACCAGATCATAAAGAGAGTGCCAAATGAACTGATAGCTCTCTTCTCAGTAGCAATAACAGAAGCAGAAGACTGTAAAATAAAAGTTTGACCAAAAAAAAACCTTCAATCCAGAATTGCATATAGATTTAAAATATATTTCCAGAATTAGAATATAAGAAAGAAATTTTCAGATGATCAAAACTGAGATTAAAACAGTGAGAGATTTTTATTGAATATCAGAATTATATATTTCAGAAGGAAAATTACCCAGAAGAGATATCTAAAATATATATATTTTTTTTAATTAGAAAATAAAATAGTAGGGCCAGGTGCGGTGGCTCATACCTATAAACCCAGCAGTTTGGGAGGCTGAGGTGGTCAGATCACTTGAGGTCAGGAGTTCAAGACCAGCCTGGCCAACTGAAACCCCATCTCTACTAAAAATACAAAATTAGCTGGGCATGGTAGTATGCACCTGTAATCCCAGCTACTCAGGAGGCTGAGGCAGGAAAATCACTTGAACCTGGGAGGTAGAGGTTTTAGGGAGCCGAGATTGCGCCACTGCACTCCAGCCTCGGTGACACAGCAAGACTCCATTTCAAGTAAACAAACAAACGGATAAAATAGTAAACATCTGGGTAAATGTTAAACAAATTTTAGCTGTATAAATAGAATATAATACAGTCTAATTAGTAGAATAACAAAGAAAAAGAACGAAAATACTGAAAAGTAGCATAAAGGTCAGCAAAACGATCAGTTGGATTAGGACATTCTAATGTTTCTACGTTACTCAGGATAAGAATAAAGATGTTGAAAAACTTAAAATTTGTTAAGTTAAATATACCTTATAATATATAGGGTAACTCCCAAAAGAACCGAAATACGGCATCTAATTTCTAGAAGAGTCGATGGGAAAATGCATTCGGAAAATAGCTGCACAATAAAACTGTACCCTGGGCTTCATTTTGAACCAGAGCTACAGGCAATCTCATTTTTGTTAGGTATCTCTATATTGTTTTGTTTTCTTACTGGTTCTATAAATTGGCTTAAATCCTCTGTTTTGGATATTAATGTTCCAATTGATTATATACAGTTCCTTAATTTCTATTAAAGTGAATTCTTATTTATTTATTTATTTATTTTAATTGCATTTTAGGTTTTGGGGTACATGTGAAGAACATACAAGATAGTTGCATAGGTACACACGTGGCAGTGTGATTTGCTGCCTTCCTCCCCTTCACCTATATCTGGCATTTCTCCCCATGCCATCCCCCCCCAACTCCCCACCCCCGGCTGTCCCTCCCCTATTTCCCCCCAACAGACCCCAGTGTGTGATGCTCCCCTCCCTGTGTCCATGTGTTCTCATTGTTCATCACCCGCTTAGGAGTGAGAACATGCGGTGTTTGATTTTCTGCTCTTCTGTCAGTTTGCTGAGAATGATGATTTCCAGGCTCATCCATGTCCCTACAAAGGACATGAACTCATTGTTTTTGATGGCTGCATAATATTCCATGGTGTATATGTGCCACATTTTCCCTGTCCAGTCTATCATCGATGGGCATTTGGGTTGGTTCCAGGTCTTTGCTATTGTATACAGTGCTGCAATGAACTTTCGTGTGTGCATGTGTCCTTATAGTAGAACGATTTATAATCCTTTGGATATATACCCAGTAATGGGATTGCTGGGTCAAATGAATTCTATCTCATTCTGTAAATGTTTCCAGACCTAAATCATAGCTATTCCACCTCAAGTTCAGAGCAACAGCAACACTTTTATTCATTCATTCACAAATGTTGATCAAATGCCAGTATTTGCTGGGACCATCTGCTTGGAACATGGTTTTACTCAGGTCTTGATTCGGGTATCCACTCTTGGGATTACCATCTGCCTTGTTCAGTGTCAGGGAGGGCGATAAGGCTGAGTGAGTGGAGTGACAATCTGATTTCATGTAAGTTAAATGTCCACGCTGGGAAGTAAAGGTGCAAAGTGACTAAGTTGCATCTTCCCAGTGAATATATTTTGTCAGAGTTTGCTCTATATTAAAAAGAAACAAAATTTATGAACCCTCAATTTTTTTAATGCAGTATTTAAATATCTAACAAAATGCTTCTATATTCCTGGGCAGTGTGTAATTTTTTTGTAAATTTTGTGTATTTTTTTGTGTTAGAGACTCGGCTAGAGGATTTAGTGTTGCTTAGTGGACGGGTTTCTATTAATAATGGCACATTCACAGTGCATGGTACTTTCTGACCTTTAAACTATGTAAAATGTATATTCTTCCCGCTGAAGAAGGCTAAGACCTGGTCAATTACAGGTTAGAAGAACGAAGGCAAAACCACCATAGTAAATCATGTCACAGAGACTGCTGCAGTGGGCTTACCTCAATGACAGCACATTTCATTTATAATTTGAAGCCCTCTCTCACCAAAAACTCACCAATAAGAGCAGATTTACTCAGCTCTCCAAGGAATCTCAGCTTGTTTTTAATCTACTGATTTTAGAATCCATGTCATTTTTCTAACAGGGCACTGCATAAGACCTGTGTAATCCAGCAATGGTAGATAAACTCTCTCTTAATCTCTATGCTCCATCTTAGAAACTAAGTAACAAAACAAAGCATCACTCACACTCTCCTCTGGCCTTTCCAAGCTGCTCTCTGAGGCACCTTCATAGGAGTCCACCCCTGGATGTGGAACTCTGAGAGTAGCGTCTAAGAAGAAAAGCAAAAACATATGCATGAATTCAGTCCCTGATTAAGTCAGAATTCCTATTAGGAAATAAGGAACTGACTTCAAAAACCATTCCTATAAATAGTTTGCTTTATTATCCTGGAAATGCGGTGCTTTCTAACCTCAAGACACATTTGTATGGAGTCTTTTCAGAACAAGAAATAATTGCAGTGCATTCAACAAGCATATTTGAGCACCTACTATATGCCAGAATCTGCACAAGACCTTAGGGACACAAAGACAACATTCCTATACTTAAGGAGCTATCTAGTAAAGGGGACACATACTAAAAGAACTCTAACAGAGAGGGGAAGTGGGCAAAGGTTGGAGATTGGTTGTGAATTGACAAGTGTTAAAACCGGACCTTATCATGTTATTCTATTTTTGTAGATGTCTGAAACTTCTAACACAGAGAAGTTCGTGGGTTTTTTAAATTAAAAGTAAAGAAATGACTTACCAACTTACAAGAAATGTATTGGTCAAAGGAGCATGTTAAACTATACCCCAGAATGCAGTAAGAAAATCCTTACTCTAGGAAACTCTCTCAGGACAAATGACAAATGGCAGAATTAGAATGGTTCTGCATTTTGACATTAATGGTGGCTACAGAGTGTTTGCCTTAAAATAATTCGTTAGCTCATATGTTTGTTTTAAGTGGTGTTCCGACTTGTATTATATACTTAACAATTCAGGATTTTTAAGTACCCACAACATAATGCTATAAAATCAGCTTTAAAAAATTATTTTTTCTGGACACTCTTGAATAACATATAAAAAGAGAGAGATCTGATATTTTTGAAGAGTGAGCTGCAAAAAATTTACATGTTTGTGAGACTGTCTTAAACCATAAATAATTTTAAAAGAAAAGTGAATAAAGACACAAAAGCATACCTCCCAGTGTTGAAGTATCGCCAACAGGAACTGCAGAAGACAGGTCAGGGCTAGAGAAAAACATCTTCAGTTAATAAAATGACAGACACATGAGGGTTTATTTTGGGATTTGGAGGTTGCTTTCAAAAAAGAAAAACACTACATCACCGATTAAGGACTCCCAAACAAAAGTACCAAGAAGCAAAGGTTTTAAAAATAAAACTTCATAATTCATTTATTTTACATGTATTGATGCCTACTCAACTAGAATCACCCTATCTAAAATTGTTCCCTACTTTTTCAACACCCCATTTTCTTTCTTCACAGTTCTTATCACTGTGTGAAATTTTATTTATCTTTTTATCTATCTCCATCTCAAATCCCTTAGTCCTCTGTCACGATATTGCCCAAAATGGTAGCCACTGGACATATGTAGCAATTTAAATTAATTAAATTTAAACCAAGTTAAAACCTCAGTTCCACATTTACACCAGCCACATTTCAAGTGCTTGACAGTTGCATGTGATTAATGGCTATCGTACTGGACAAGACGGTAAAGAACATCTCCATCACTACGGATGTTCTATTGAACAGCACTGCATTAAGAATCTAAACTCCATGAGACTGGAGACCTTGACTAACATATTCCTGCTGTACCTTCCAGTGCTTAAAACAGTACCTGCCATTTAGCAGGCACTAAAAATATATTTGGGGAGATAAATGAATACTACATGCCAGGCAATGTAGGAGGTACTTGGCATATAATGTGAGCAAAACACCCATGGTATATGAAGGTTCCAGTCTTACAGAAATTATACACACCGAATCAATGATTACAGATGAAACGAGCAGTATAGACAGGAGAGTAATGGCTGCTAGAAGGAACATAGAACCACACACCTAACCTCATTGGAGAGATCACTGAAATCATCAAACCTATTTATATAAAGAAGGTCAAGCTTGGAGACATTATTTGCTGTAGAAACCACATTGCTAATAGGTATCAGGTCGCCTGGTTGTCCTTTTACCATGCCACTCTGCAACGGCAAGCAAAGAAGAGATCAGAAGATAATCTAAGAAAGCCCTACCTCTTAAAGAAAAGAAAATAGATTTCCACGAATTCATCTTTTCACATTTCCCAAAGGGATAAAAGGTTTTAGAATTTTCAAGTTTGCACACGTCTTAAAAGGAAAAGGGGGCCGGGCGCGGTGGCTCACACCTGTAAACTTAGCACTTTGGGAGGCCAAGGCCGGCGGATCGCGAGGTCAAGAGATCGAGACCATCCTGGCCAACATGGTGAAACCCCGTCTCTACTAAAATTACAAAAATTAGCTGGGCGTGGTGGCACGCACCTGTAGTCCCAGCTACTTGGGAGGCTGAGGCAGGAGAATTGCTTGAACCCAGGAGGCAGAAGTTGCGGTGAGCTGAGATCGCGCCACTGCACTCCAGCTTGGCACCTGGCAATGGAGTGAGACTCTGTCTCAAAAAAAAAAAAAAGGAAAAGGGCTATTCCATTAACCTTTTCTAAAGGTATTGGATCAGTGGTGATTGTCTGTTTTCAACTCACAGCAATTAAAAACTCTCTTCAGGTTGGGCGTGGTGGCTCATGTCTGTAATCCCAGCACTTTGGGAGGCCCAGGTGGGCGGATCACTTGAGGCCAGCAGTTCAAGACCAGCCTGGCCAACATGGCAAAACCCCATCTCTACTAAAAATATAAAAATTAGCCAGGTATGTTGGCCCACACCTGTAATCCCAGCTACTCAGGAGGCTGAGGTATGAGAATCACCCTGAACCTGGGAGGCAGAGGTTACAGTGAGTCAAAATTGTGCTATTGTACTCCAGCCTAGGTGATAGAGGAAGATTCTGTCTCTAAATAAACAAATAAGTAACTAAATAAATAAATAAAGACTCTCTTCAATGCTACCAAGTCAGCTTCCTAAAGTGATTTGATCAATTATCAAAAATGTCTTCCTCATAGATGTGCCCAGGTCTGCGATGTGCCCAGTAAGTCACATCTTCAGAACCCACTCCTTTAGGTCACCCTGTTGCTCTAAGTTACATTACAGAGGCACTCAAAGCCTCGAGATAAACATGGCACACATTTTGAGGCATCAATTTTACTAGAAGCTTAAGGAGGTAAGGAGTTAAGTAAGAACTGAGGTATAATTTAAAACATTTTAAGTATAACAAACATGGTTACGTTACAGAACAGAATATAAAGTTTAAATGAATATGATAATAAAATATGATAATTCAAAGACATTCTATGATTGGAGCTGTTATAGGAAGGTCAACTAGGGGCATGTCCTCTAAATGCCCAGGCTTTGGTAGAAAATTTGAGGAACATAAGTTAAAAAAAAAAAAAAAAAAAAAAAAAAAAAAAAAAAAAAAAAAAAAAAAAAAAAACTCCCCATAAAGGTCCTTCTGGTTTTAAAAATTCTATCTAAAAAAGAGTAAGATATTGAACTATTATACAAAACTCATCAGTATTGTTTATTTAGAGCACATTTGCATAAATGTGCTTACTAAGTGAGCTTTCATCTAGAAGAGCCTAAAGGAATATGACATCTGGACAAGTTATTTTGCTAAGCAGAGGATAGCATGAGTAATGAGGAAACATCAAGACACTTCTTGGATTGCAGAAGAGGGAGCTGAAAAAGCTGGGGTTCAGATGCATTTGGAAGAAACATTAACATAGTCAGGCCTGAATAGGGTCTATCAGTTGTCCACATGGCAATGCTCCTCCTCAGTACCTCCACTTCATAGATGAAAGAAATAAGGTCCAAATGGGTAAAGCAAGTTTCCCAAGCTCACAAAATCATTCTCTTTCAATAATAGCAGCAAGAATAATTACAACTAAATTTACTGACCGTCATCTTGTGTCATACACTGCTAAGTGCTTTATTTACGTTAACTAACTTAATTCTGGCAACCACCTTAAGAGGGAGATCCTATGATCCCATTTAGACTGATGAGGAAACTGATGTTAGAAGAGGTTAAGAATTTGCTCAGGGTCACACAGTTAAGCCAATGGAGGAGCTGCAATGTAAAACAGGCCCACTGGATGCCAGAAACCTCACTTACCTCAAGTCACTGGTGACTTGAGGCCCTTATGTGATCCCTACTCTTTTTTTTTGAGACGTAGTCTTGCTGTGTCGTCCAGGCTAGAGTGCAGTGGCACGATCTCAGCTGATTGCAACCTCTGCCTCTTGGGTTCAAGCGATTCTCCGGCCTCAGCCTCCCAAGTAGCTGGGACCACAGGTGCACGCCACCACATCTGGCTAATTTTTTGTATTTTTAGTGGAGACTGGTTTCACCATGTTGGCCAGGATGGTCTCAATCTCTTGACCTTGTGATCCGCCCACCTCGGCCTCCCAAAGTGCTGGGATTACAGGGGTGAGCCACTGCGCCCCACCATCCCTACTTTTTAGAAGCGTTTCACTTGGCCTTCATGATACTGACCTAGAAAAACTAAATGATCTAAAAGTCAGTGTGTAAAGTCCTAGAAAGAGGAAGGGGAACCTGGTCAGAGTTGGAGACCTATGGAGAGCAACGAGATATAAGGATCACAGCAAGGCAAAGGTATGAAAGCACAACACAGCAACTAGAATAGGATGTTGGGCTGAGGTAGCAGAGAAACCCAACTTCACCTGGGGCAAGTCAAACTGTCCCCCACATCAAATCAAATTTAGGCTAATTCTCTAACTAAGCAAGCATTCAGAATGCAGAAGTTCGATAACTTCAGCTGAACTACATTTCACCTTGCTGAATTCAAAATAACATTATTTTAATAGCGATAAGTAAGAAACTCTCAATAATTTAAACCACTTGCCTACACTTCAACTCTTAATCCGTCACCCACCCACTCTCCTTTCAAGAGACAGCTGAGAACACTTAACAACAAGAAATCTTTTACAAGTTTTCATTAAGTATGCCTCCTGCAGGGATCCCTTAAAATGTCACTCGTAACAGTACTGGGACACAGAGGTGTGTTGAGTTTGGAAACAGAAATACTACTTCATTTCTAAGTCAAACCACGAAATTGAAGCTGTTCAGCTAAGACCTTTAGCTTAATACCAATAACACCAGCCCCTTACTATCTCCTTTCCTCAGTTCGCCCAGCACATTATTCATTCTTCACCACTACTACCTAATCATGTCAACATGTGTCCAGAGATGCTCCCAGCCACAGAGAACACTTAAAGACATTGTAAAACAAGCCAAGCACAGGTTCATATGCAGATTCCTACTCCCCTTGGTGATCTTCCATACTTTGCTTTGTTCTTGAATATGTCACTATAATAGCACGTGACAGCAAAAGAACTCAAAGCAAGGAAGAAGTTAAGAAACCTGAGAGCTAGTCCCAGTTGTATCATTAACTCTGCATGTGATTTGGGGAAAGACCTTAGTTGCTCTGGGCCTCAATAGCTTAACCTTTAAAACAAAAACACCTCTATGCCTGCCTATTTCACAAAGGTGTTGACAAAAACTACATAATATATTATATGCAGAAGCATCCTAAAAAGTATGAAATGCTAAACAACTATAAAACAGGGGTTAGCCAGGTGCCGTGACTCACACCTGTAATCTCAGCACTCTGGGAGGCTGGGCAAGTGGATCACCTGAGGTCGGGAGTTCAAGACCGGCCTGATCAACATGGAGAAACCCCATCTACACTAAAAATACAAAAAATTAGCCGGGTGTGGTGGCGCATGCCTGTAATCCCAGCTACTCAGGACGCTGAGACAAGAAAATCGCTTGAACTCAGGAGGCAGAAATTGCAGTGAGCCAAGATTGCACCATTGCAGTCTAGCCTGGGCAGCGAGAGCGAAACTCCATCTCACACACACACACACATACACACCCACACATACACACACACACACACACGCACACACAGGGGTTAATGGGATGGTGACACAAGTCATCCCAAACAGAATAAAAAATTTGCTGAAAAAAATATATATAGAGACCAGGCACTCTAGCTCACGCTTGTAATCCCAGCATTTTGGCACTTTGGGAAGGCAAGGTGGGTGGATCACTTGAGGTGAGGAGTTCGAGACCAGCCTG